AGGTAACAGGCTTTTTTTTTAACTCAAAGACATGCTTTTTATTCAGTCATGCAGATCGGCATTCTTTTATTATTAGGTTACATTATACATTTGTAATTTTATTTCAGTTATCATTATTATGTGTATATATGATACGTGTTGAGGGGCACATATGCCATGGTACACATGTAGAGGTCTGAGAACAACTCTATGAAGTTGGTTTTCTCCTTCCACCTTTACATGGGTTTCAGGATTCAAACTCAAGTTTCAGGCTTGTATGGCAAGCACTTTACCTGCTACCCCGTTTTTGATTTATTAAAAGCAATTTCTGATCATTATAGACTTGAGAATACTAATAGTACAAAGGAGAAAGTAATCTAAAATACAGTTATCTTAGACTGATTACTCATTTTGTGTTGATTTCTTCATCTATTTTTTTTAAGAATTGTCTATTTTATATGGAGTGTTTTCCCTATGTATATGTATATGTGCCATGTGCCTACATGGTTGTGAGGCACCATGTGGATGCTGGGAACTGAACCTGAGGCCTCTGCAAACAAATGTTCTTCCCACTGAACCATCTTTCCAGTCTCCATTCTTTATCTTTTTTTATAAGGATTATTTATTATGCATAGTGTTCTGTTTGCATGTCTACCTGCAGGCCAGAAGAGGGCACCAGATCTCATTACAGATGCTTGTAAGCCATCATGTGGTTGCTGGGAATTGAACTTAGGACCTCAGAAAGAGCAGCCAGTGCTCTTAACTGCTAAGCCATCTCTCCAGTCCTCTTTATCTTTCTTTAATCATTATTTTTTGCTTCCTTCTTTTCATACACTTGGAATTACAATGCATATGAATACATTTTATGTATCTAAATTTTTATTCATCCATTTTGTGTGTATATATGAGTGCTGGCACTTCCATGTCACAGCACACCTGTAGTAGAGTTCACCTTCCACCTTGTTGGGACTGATTCTCTTTTGTTGCATTGGTGTCCTCCAGACTAGTTGACCTTTGAGCTTCTAGTAGATTTTTCTTGTTTTGCTTTCCATCTTATAATAGGATGGGATTATAGATGTGTGACACTGTTCTTTTTATGTGGATTCCAGGAATTGAACTCAAGTTGTCAGGCTTGTGTGGCAAATACTTTTACCTACTGCAAGCCATCTCCCTAACCCCATAATTTTATATTATTTTCTCATTTAATGACTTTCTCATGTCATTAAATAGTTTTCAAAATGTTACTCTTAACATCCTAAATATAGTCTGTTGTAATGTAGTATCTCAATTTATATTTATTTTCCTTTAGCACTTAATTCTATTCTTTGTTGGTCATACTACTATGACAAATATTTTAATATATAAAGATCTCAGTTCCTATGTTGAGTAGTTCACAACTGTCCATTGCTCCACCTACAGGGAGATCCAACACCTCTGGTCTCTGAGGACACCTGTACTAACATGCAAACACACACACACACACACACACACACACACACACACAAATAAATACAATTTTAATTCTTTAAATTTTGGCTTTACAATATTTTTATTAGCTTATGTATTTGAGTGTTGATGTTCAGGGTGTGCATATGGTAGTCAGAGGATAACTTTCAGGAGTTGATTCTTTCCTTCTACCTTCAGTTTTAGGGGCTGAGTTCAGATCAAGTGCTTCTACTGACTGAGCCATCTAACTGGCCCTAAAACTTGATTTTCCTTAACTAGTCTCCCAGCATTCAGATGAGTTTCAAATTCTAATTGTATCGTTTACTAATTTGGTTGCTCTGAGTACATGAGCCTTTTACCCTGTAGACCTAGGCATCTAAGGATAACCTTTCTTTTTTTTTAAGATTTATTATGTACAGTGTTCTGCTTGCCTGTATACATACACACCAGAAGAAGGCACTTGATCTCTTTATAGATGGTTGTGAACCATCATGTGGTTGCTGGGAATTGAATTCAAGACCTCTGGAGGAGCAGCCAGTACTCTTAACCTCTGAGCCATCTTTCCAGCCCCTAAGGATAACCTTTTAATGCATCTTTGTTTTTTTGTTCTAAGCATCTCACTTTAATTTTGATAGTATCTATCAATCTGTATATTCCTCCCATCATTTATTGTTTAGTCCTATAAAGTTCTTACATTTCATCCTAAAAAAAAATAGATCAGGAAGGAGACAATACACTGTATCATGCCTAGACACATGATCTGCTTGTCAAGTAGTAGAATTACAGATGAGCTGTGAGTTAAGTTTACATTCAGTGGCAGCAGCATCATTCAAGATTTCACTGTTTGTCTCCATCTGTTTAATACGATAGAAATATGTTGCTTTTTGTTTGCCATACAGAAATAAACAAAAGCATTCTTTGTATTTCACAATTGATGTAGCAGATGGAAAATGAAGGAAGAATTTAAAAGGTGTGAGTGGAATTTTTTAAATGAAGAGAGATTATTCTTATCATTGTTAAATATTTAAATTTTCTTGAAAAATGGTGGAAATGACAAGGGACCTGAGAATTAGGGGATGATTTAAGAATAGGCATTTAAGAAAGACTTCTTCCTCCCATTGTAATTGATGTTGGGTAAAAATGGTAAAACAAAGGCTTAACAAATTGGGACAGAAGCAGGAAATCCTTTAGTGACTGCCAGTTTAACATTCAAGATCAAAGAAAAAAGCTTACTTCTGTTAGATTTTAATGGTTTTTGTCCTAAAGTCTTTCTTTTTCTTTTTTAGCAAGGCACAATTTTGTTTTCATGTCATTTTTATTAAAGATTCCAAATTAGAATCATCTTCATTTTTTGAAGGTTTGAAATTTATGGCTTGAGGAAAATTGTTCCAGAATTTATGTAATCACTTCCTACTCCGCTACCTTACCAGAAAGAACCCTTTCCTTCTAATAAATCAGTAAAGGAGAAAATTTGACTCCAAGGGCTAGAATCCATATAATAGTAAGGATTTCTGCCTAATTCTTGTGTCCACTTGTATCTTGATAGGAGTAGATACAAGAGGAACCCTTCAAGCCAAGGCCTGGTCTTGTGGCTATGTTAGGAGAGCAGGTTCTGGAGCTAGGGGTGAAATTATCCATGGCATAGCAGTTAGGGATCCCCATAGAGGAGCCATCTGCCTTCCAAAGGTGATCTGTGTTTTCAGCCATAATGACCATAGTTTTTATATTTATTTGCTTTTATTTACTTTTTTTTGATACTGTGTTGTGGTTCCAGAAAGTACTGAAAAATAATTTGTTTTTTTTAAAAAATGTATTTAAAACAAACAAACAAACTAACCAGAAAACCTTGTTGTCCTGGGGCTATGTGAAGAAGAATGAAGCTCTCGTTTTCCAGTACCCAATCATTGGCTTGAGCTGGCCTCTCCTAGGAGCAGAATTTATTGAAGCAATTTATCCTGGCTAAATGTGATATAAATCTATGTATACGTATGTACATACTGAGTCTATTCCATTACAGCAGGACTGAAGCATCAGTTTCCTTCATAGTTAGACCATGTTCCTATCACACTGAAAGATGGCCAGGCAGCCCCTTCTATTTTATGGGGCACCTCACACTTTTAAACACCGATTAGTTGTGGAATTACTGATTAGACAACCAGAAATACTGGTTTCTAACCCAAAAGTAAATCCTAAGAGAATAGGAGAGATATTACCTCGTTGCCCTCTATTTTAAGCCTGGTTTTATGTTACTAGCTTCATTCTATCATGTTAGCATTTTATTTTAATACAGGCCTAACTGAGATTGACCTACATTTCGGTTTATCTTCAATATGGAATTTGAGATTTGGTTACAGTTCTGAAGTTATTTCCAGGCATAGTTCAGTGATCATCCCTCACTATCTTTCATTGTTCACATCTTTTTATGTATTGTTCTATGGTATGGATAGTTGTGTGAAAATGTCCTTAAAACCTTGTTCTATAAGACTACTTTTATCCCTCCAGTTTTCTCTTTTAGAATACTTTTGTTGTGATTTGATTTCTAGTCATTATTCATCTCTGCCTGGTTTTTATTCTTAGTTGGAATATGAGAAATTTTCCCACCATATTCAGATTATATTTATTGTTTTTAACAAAGAATTTTGATAGACATTTCAAAAGATTAGCTTTAGTCATTTAAAAAAGCAATATAAATTCTGTTAAATTCTACAGAGAAATAGAGGGAATGGATGGTGGTGCCTTTAAGTGCATTTCTTTTATCCCCTGCAGCAGCACACATCTGTTGGCTGCAACAGAGCAGCCTAAGAACTCTGGCCGAGAGCAGCACAAACAGCCGGAACATATTCACCCAGTAAACCCCCAAAGAGTCGACATTTGTTTTATTGCTGCTTTTAAAAACCTAGCCATAAATAGAATCAGAGGGGGGAAGGGCACTGATATTTCTTCATTTGCCACAGATGATTGGTGGGGGGAGGGGGAGGAGGCTCCCAGTGAGGAAGGGAAGTTTTTATTTTTATTTTTTTATTAATGAAAATAATTTCCCATGTAGTTCAATAGGATGGGTGCTTTGTTTTCTTTGGCAATAATCTGGGATAAACGACCCTTGCCAACAGTCTCGTAGTTTATACACCAGGGAGCCAGATTATAGCCCTGTAAAATGGAGCACCCCTCCTATAATCCCTTAATTAATTAAATGACAAATTTTGGTCTTCTCTAGTTCAGAAATATGGCTTCCGCATCGAGCGTTCTGTAAATTTATTGACAGAGAGAGCTGCACTGGTTGTAATTCAGTAGACTGGAGAAATGTGTTATATACTGTAGTAGAAAGAGGGAAAACCTAGCAAAGGTTTAAAATTCCTGGACTATTTAAGTCTGAATTTTCCTAATTAAAGTTTCAATTGAGGCACAGTAGATCATGTGCCACCTGTCTAATGAGTCTCCCCAAAGTAGCCTGTGTTTACAGCTTTGATAGATGGCATTCTTGGAACACCTGTTTCTAGGCTTGATATTTTTGAATCATATTTTTTTTTCTCCAGCGTATTTAACATAACTTTTCCCCTACTCCTTCACCCCCCCAGCTCTGCTCTGCTTTATGAAATATGGGAGACGACAGACCGTTTGTGTGCAATGCCCCGGGCTGTGGACAGGTACGTTTACAATATACTTTATTGTGAATGTCTTGTTGTGAATCAAAGTGGCTGTTTTATCACTAAGGCATAGAGTTTAAAGCCGGTATTTTACGTGATCACTGGAGGTAATCAGATCAGAGGATTTGCAGTGTGTAAATCCAAGTTATGAGGAAGTGTAGGCACTCCACCGTAATGAAATCTGCCTTGCTTTCTTCCATCTTGCTGTTCTACTGATGTTTGTTTTCCAACACACACTGCTAAAGAATACATGTTACACTCTCTTCCTTTCTAAAGCTATCCATCTAGACATACAGCAAGATTAGAAATGTCTTCTTCTTGACCTTCAGGTATATAAAAGTCTGCTTAACATATTTAGAGAGTCAGCTAAGAATGTTCCCATTTATTGTAAGCCTCCAATTTCTGAGTCTCTGTGGATTTCTAAAATATGAAAAAAAATGTTTCTTTTGATTGTTGATCCAGAAAAATTGAGTTAACAGCTAAGACAAGGTACTCACTCCATCAGGAACAGACAAACCCAACATAGAACTTGCAATCCATCCTACAGTCGTGTTCTACAAACATTTCCCTGTCTGATATCATGACATGTGTTGTTTTACATGTCAGCTCCCATATAATTGTGTGTGTGCATTATATGTCAGATGTGTTTCATATACTTTTTTTTGTAAAATAATTCTGTTGAAATTGCCTTGTTTTTCATTTTGTATATTAACTTTTTTCCCTAGATCTTTTTTTAATACTTCTACAAATGATGGGAAAAATGGATAAAAAGTTTTATTTGCCTTCATTTTATAGAATCTCAACTATATTCAGTTAGGGTTATGTCATGTAACTGTCCAGTGACACTTACTGGTGGTATGTGAGATCACAGATTGGTTCCATTATGAATTGTAAATACTTAAAAAAAAAAAGAGTTAAGCCCTAAACATTTCTACAAATTGGAGTTTGAGAGGTAGATGGGATGATGATGGGACAAGAAATAGAAATAATATTCCAGATTTCAATAAATACTGAAACTTTCTGGTAAGACACCTAAACCAAAACATTGTATTTTGCAGTATTAAGCATCCTAGAGTATATTTTCTTTCTTGTTAAACTTTTTTTAAACATGTGTAGGTATGTTTCCATTTTCAAATAGCATATTAAGGTAGAAAATGTGAAATGATCCCTCTATTTTTGTGATGCCTTTGCCGTGAGTGCTGCAGCTGACACATAGTAGTGCCCTGTACTGCTTGAAAAATCTGAATTTTGGGTGAGTTCACTTTCCTCATGTGTGCTTTTTTTTTTTTAATATAAGACAAGATCTCACTATGTAGCCCTGGCTACCCTGGAACACCTAATGTGATAAACCAGACTGGCCTCAAATACACAAAGATTTACCCTAAGGGTGTGTGCCACCATCCCTGGACAGTCCAGGCTACATGAGACCTTGCCTCACAAACAAACAAAAAAATTTTTTGTGAACCAGACATGAGGGTGAACACTTTCACTAACAGTACCCAGAGGCAGAGAAAAAGTGATCTTTTCAGGGTGGGGCCAAAATGGTTAAAAGGGTAAAAGTACTTGCTGAACAGACATGACAACCTGAATTTTATATTGGATCCCATGGTAGAAGGGTGAAAAGATAGAGAGTGGACTCTCAAAATTATCCTCCGACCTCAACATGTGTACTCTGGCATGTATGCACCTGTACTTACACACATGTCTCATATTCATATATATGTACATATATTTATATATATAAATAATAAAACATTTAAAAAGCTTTAAAATGCACTGTGGCTCATTCCTTTATTCCCAGCACTTGAGAGGCTGAGGCAGGCAGATCTCCTGAAGCCTGCCTGGTTTACAGAGCAAGTTCCAAGACAGCCAGAGTTACACAGAGAAACCTTGTTTCAAAAAAAAAAAAGTTTTAAAATTTATTTAGTACTAGAAAAGAAAAGTAGTAAGAACTTTTTACTGTTGTTTCTCTGTTTTGTTGGCTTTGTTTGTGAGCCTTTCCCCACATTTCCAAATTATGTGTGTTGGTTTTTGTGTTTCATCACTTCTTTAATAGGTTAGAAAGCCCCATCTTAAGAGTTGTGGAAATGTGACTCATCCCTTTACCCTCTTTGCATATCAGAAACTGTTCATTCAGGTAAGAAATTGTAGTTATCCAGCTATATTTAGACCTTTCTTTAGATTTCTTCTAAGATCTAGTAACAAGTAGCTCTAGAATAGGATTCTCAGCAGACATTTGTGATTACCTCATACTGTGTGAAATAGAGAAAATGTGGCAGAAGATACAAATTTGGTAAAGCCAACTACCATTTGGCATGCCATTGAACTTCCTTAAATCTTGAAATAGCTTCATTTTGGAACTACCCAGAGACCTTTAAGTTACTTGTAAGCTATTTGTTATTGATTGAGATTATTTGTCCCAAATGAGGTAGAAACAAAAAAGGCTATGTAAATCCCAGGAAAGAATCGTGATAATTTTTGGAAGGCATGGTTTAGGACCTATCATTAGAGAAGTCTCAAAAAACAGTGGTAAGGAGAAAGGGTTGGCTTGAAAGTTAAGAGCACTGTCAGTCTTTCAGAGCACCCAAATTTGATTCTGAGTACCTATGTGGCAGCTCACAAACATGTGTAACTCCACTTCCGGGGGATCCAACACCCTCTCTGACCTCCATGGGAACTACATGCACACAGAGCAAAACATACTTGCAGATAAAACATTTATACATATAAGATAAAAAACAAACAAAAAACTTTCTTTTTTTAATTGTGGGGTTGGGGATTTAGCTCAATAGAGCTAAATATACATGAATTTGTACAAGGCTCTGGGTTCAGTCTTCAACTCCCAAAGAGAACTATGGGAATTCTACTTTGTTTCTGTATCTATTCCTTGTACAAACTCTACCATATGTATCTTTAAACTCAGAAATCACCATGCAGTTTAATATTGAGGAAAGGTGAAAGGAAAATTTACCTAAAATAGATTAGTAAAGTATACCCTCCACTATATAATCAAAACCACCAGGCTTTCAATGGGTACATAAACATGTTTTGGTTGCTAGGTTTTTAATGGCTGTTATTTTTGGATGTGTTCACAATCTACTTCCCAGCAGTTAGTCTGATGTGACACAGCTGAATTCTAAATACACTATATACTTAAAAAATGGCTACTGAAAATTGTGCTGTCTGCATTCCTGTATGAAAAGATAGATGATAAACTTTTTAGTCCCCTTATTCCTATTGGCCTATTGAGACTGTTTCTCCAGAGACCTTATCACCCTCATGAAGAACTTGAGGAAAACAATATTCTTGCTAAAATCTCTCTATGGAATGTAGTACAAGCAATCATTAATAGAGCTGAGCTACCTCCTGAGAATGGGTTAGTGTTGTTAAGGCAACAGTCTCCTAGATAGCCCTTTGACAGAGACCTAGTTGAATGGAGTTGTGTGGGATTTTGAAGCTATTACAAAGTAGCATCTATTTAAGAGCCCTTAAAGATACCTCTAATTGCCAGGCGTTGGTGGCACACGCCTTTGCCTTTAATCCCAGCACTCGGGAGGCAGAGGCAGTAGGATCTCTGTGAGTTCAAGACCAGCCTGGTCTCCAGAGTGAGTTCCAGGACAGCCTCCAAAACAATACAGAGAAACCCTGCCTCGAAAAACCAAAAAAAAAAAAAAAAAAAAAAAAAAGATACCTGTAATTCCAACCATCTGGTAAACTAAGGAAAGAGGATCACAAGTTCAAGGACAGCCTAAGCAACTTTCTGAGAACCTACCTCAAAAATAAAATAAAATAAAAGCCCTGAGATGTAGCTCTGCTTCTGAGTACTTGCCTAGTGTTCTTCAGACCCTAGTTAAGGGGCTGGAGAGATGGTTCAGGAGTTAAAAGCATGTACTTCTCTTTCAGAGAACCTGAGTTTGATTCCCAGAATGTGCATAGTAGCTCCCAAGCACCTGTAGCTCCAACTCTAGAGGATCTAACATTCATATACATATATTCATGTAAATTAAAACTAAATCTTGTTTATTTGTTCCGAGACAGGTTTTCTCAGTGTAATCTTGGCTGTCCTGGGACTCACTCTGTAGATCATACTGGCCTTGAACTCAGAGATCCACCTACCTTTGCCTCCCTAGTGCTGGGATTAAAGGCATGCACCAACACTACCTGACTAAATCTTTAAAAAATGTGAAGAAAAAAATGAGACTCTGGTTCAATCCCTAACACTGAAAAAAAGAAAATGAAAAAACAAAACAAAACTTCTATTTAAAAACACTGTTATTATCTAGGTGGTATTGGTGCATGCCTTTAATCTCAGTACTTGGGAGGGCAGAGGCAAACAGATCTCTATTGAGTTTGAGACCAGCCTGATCTACAGAGCCGATTCCAGGACAGCCAAAGCTACACAGAAAAACCCTGTCTTGGAAAACTAAACCAAACAAAAACATTGTAATTATAAAATATATTTGTTTTTTTGTTTCTGTTAAGATAATAGAGATATAATTGGTGCTGAATCTAGAAAGTCTTGTAAGGAAAAATGGGTCTTCACATTATATTGCCCAGGCTAATCTAGAACTCCTGAGCTCAAGTGATCCTCTTGCCTCAGCCTTCTAAGTAACTGAGAATAAGTACATTTATATACTATTATTCCCTGCTTAGTCCTCTAAGTTTTTAATATTTTAGGGTGCCACTTTTACTTCAAAGTCTATTATAAAGCCAATAAAATGGGAGCAAGTGTACTATGTCATTATCAGAAATCCTAAATTTGAGATGTTATTTCATGTGCAGATAACCTACTTTAGGTTGCTTCTGCGTGTGTGTGTGTGTGTGTGTAAGTTGGTGTTTATATATGTGTGTACATGCATGTGTGTATATGCATATGGAGGCAAGAGATCAGCCTTGGGTGTCATTCATCTAGATCCATCATCCATCTTGGTGGTTTTTTTATTGATAATTTCATAATATATGTAATCTATTTTGAATAAATCTATCCTTCATTTCCCTTCTCTCCATTTCCTTCTCTGCTCCCCTTTTCCCTCCTAACTTTGAGTGCTCTTTTTTCCTTAAATCCACTGAATCTACTTACTGCCGTCTGTGCTCTTGGGTATAGGACCATCTACTAGAGCATGGGTAGCCTTTCAGCGCCATTTTCCAAAAAACACTGATTCTCTCAACTCCAACAGACATCAGTTGTCAATAGCTCCTCAGTTAGGGATGGAACTTCATGAGCCCCTCCCCTATCCATGCTGGAATTTTGGGTGGTTTGATCCTGTGCACATCTTGAACATGCAATTACAACCACTTTGAGTTTGCATATTCAACAGCCTAAAACAGGATCTTTCACTGAGACCTGGAGCTTGCTGATTAGGCTAGACAGACTAGCTGATCAGAAAACCCTAGGAATCTGCATTTCTCTGGCTCCTCAACTCTGCAATTACAAGTGAGAGCCACCATACCTGGTTTTTCATGTGGGTGCTGGAAATCACTCACACTCAGATATTCATGCCATCACGGCAAGCATTTTACTAATAGAGCTATCTCCCTAGTTTTTATTGCCAAGGAATCAAGAGAGTTCATACTGCTATGTCTTCCTCTCAGAGCTATATGCTGGCTTGTAAAACATATTATGCAGATTTAAATAAAATTTCTGGATATCATCATCAAGTCTTCAAGTAGAAGCTGGTTGTTCTGTTTATTGTGTAGGTTGTTGCTGAAGAACAGAACATTTCCTTTGAGGACAGTATTTTATTGTCAACCACTATTGTAACTATGCTTATTAATCCTGTCCAGTATAACCCCAGGTATCTACTCTTAAGTGAGATCACCTGGCTTAAATGAGACCTCATCTTAAAAAAAAAGAAAAGAAAAAAATAAAAAAAAAAAGAGTAACAGTGTCATCCCAGTTGCAGTGGGATTGAGGGCAGCTTCTTGTATCTTCATATCTTGTCATAGTAGAAATGATGTTTATGGTGTTGTAGTCCTGGCTTCACTTGGTATTTAACCAACCTACTACAAAGCTGTTTATTGCGTTGTATCCTTTGTCTTCATGAGCATTATCCCTTAAATCTCTATTGCTTTGTAATAGATGAGGCAACAAATAGCTCCTATGATTGGTTAAATGCTGGCATGCTACAAAGGCATATGTTTTATTGTCTATATAACACAAATCTGTAGAGATTATTTCTGTTATCCTCACTTTCCCATTAAAAGGACCATACTGGAACTGGGAGACTCTGGATCTTTCACCCTATATTCCTTTGGCAAGCTTCCCAATTACTGGCATGAGCAAAAAGAAAAGCAAAGAAGAATGACTTGATGTTAATTACTCATGCTTTACGTTAGGGGAGTATCATAAATTGAAAAATAACCAGGAAAGAAATGGATCAGGTAGGCAAATGCCATTGTGGTAGTGTATGCTGTGTTTACATGCTATGGCCGGTGAAGACAATTTCAGGCAAACAAATAAGCTTTTCTTTCTTATCCCCTGCTAAGAGTTTTTTAAAAACTAAGATTTTCACTTAATAATTCATATTTCATTCAATAATTCATCTAGTTCCCATCTGGTAAGAGTGACTACATGCTGTCAGGCAGCTGAAAATATACTGCACCATGCACAATTAGGCCAAATGTTAACCTTGTTTTTTGTAAGATGTTGATTTTTGCAACAACTTCCAGTCTGCTTAGAGAATTCTATGATTTTATGTAACCTGTGATGGAACTAGGCCTCTTATGTATTATATATATAAATCGAGACTAGGATTTAAAAATCTACAGAGGTGTTAAGAGCAAGGAATTAAACTCCGGTTTCTTAATGACAGATCTGATCTCTTGACACTTGCTTTAAACACATGTGATTGGTTAATTTTAGCTTTGTGCTATTATTTATTATGCTGTTAGTAAGAGACTATATTAAAGCATCCTTGCTTTAGCCTGTTCTTATCCCAAACAAACAAATAAAACATAAAAGATGCTCTGTGAATCTAATTGGAGCTGTAAACAGGAAATTAAAGTGAAATTTTTCATTTATTCATTCTGGTTTTTCCTGCATACAACCAAATGTTACAAAATGGGAGTGTTGAAATTGTTTTCAGCATATTCCTGCAAGAATAAAATAAAATAAAATAAAATCCTGTATCTTCCTAT